AGGTCAGGGGAGAGGAATCTTGCATGGTTTGACTTCCTCCCACGGGTTCCATCAAAGTACTGAACTCCAAGTCTTCCAGGCCCCAGGAGTACGTGGATGTAACATAGTAAGTTGTAGGAAGTGAGCAGAGAGTTTTTTCCCAAGTCCAGACTCTGAGCAGTGGCTGAGCTGTCAAAGTCAGGCCCTGCAGAGCCTTCCCACCGTCAAGCTCTGGGTAAGAACTTTGTCAATAAGGCATTTCTATCATTATGTTACTTTCTAGTCTGAGCTCTGGGAAGAAACTTAGGGCATTCAGAAATAGGCAGAGGTGGAGAGTAATTGGGGTTCATAGGACATATTCAAAATGCAAAAAACTATTAAAACACACACACGGATATTCTGCTTTCCAAATGTTACAGTAAAGAGTCTGGGCTCAGAATTAGCAAACTGGCTATGTTTTAATTTGTGTGATCTTGAGAAAGTCATCTTTCCTTTCTGGATTCCAGCTTCTTCCTTTGCAAAATGAAGACATAGAACAAGGTGATCTCTAAAATTCATCACCCTCCTAACTCCCAGCTCTTTGGTCCTATGCCTAAATACTTTGGGGCTATGGGTGCTGAAACTGTGGGAAAGAAAGTAGAATGCAATGGATTTGTTCTAAAAGCTTTTTCTTTTTTCTTTTTTTAGAGTAAGGGGAATAAAATATGATTGCAAAGGACTGAAGTAAGATAGATGCTAATTTATGCATGTGGTAGGTTTTGTAAGAGCTCTGACTCCAATATCAGGAGACCAATGGGAGGGAATGAGTGACTGGGAAGCTAAGGAGCTGTACAGGTCTTCTTAATTATCAAAATTTTTTCATTAGCCGCCACAGCTACGCTGCATCAGGCATTGTGCTGAGCACCTGGAAGACAGGGTATTATATGAGATTCTTTAATTTCAAAAATCTCACAGAGAGTTGCTTTGGGATGATAACATACAGGAATGAAAAACCATTGTAGACAGGACATAATTAGAGGAAAAGTGAGGAAGTACTACTGGGAATTTAGAGGCAGGAATGGTCGGTGTTCACCTGAATGGTCGAGGCAAAAAAGGAGGGGACTTGAGCCAGAAAATGATTTATGTATCTGTGGGCTGACTTCAGATAAAGTGCATTCTAGAGAGGATGTAAGCTGCCAACAAAAGAATCAAGGCTCTTTTGACAAACAGTGATAAGTGACAGCAAAAATAATGTATAAAATTATGAATATGTACTAGAGTGATGGGATTTTTCCATAGAGCAAAACTAAGAATAGTGGGCGACACTCAGATTCCAGGTCAATGGAAGGAAGTTGTTAAAAACAAACTGAAGCATCTTAACAAAGGGAAGGAAGTGTGGTGCGGGGCAGGGGCCTTCTGGCGCCCCCAGTCCAAGCAGAGGCTTGATGCCCACTGGTGGTGGGGGGGAGCGGTGCCCAGGGCATGGACTTCTTCATGGATGGGAAGATCTGAGTTGTCATGGGTTTGAATCAAAATGAAAAACATAAGGACAATGTAAAGTTTGGCGCAGACTGTTTCTTTTTATTCTGACATTTCAGCTTCCCTTTTTTTGGTTGTTGTTAAAAGAGCTTTCATTTTTATAAATTGATGGGGATCTCCAATATATTAAAAATATCCTTAGTAATCCAATGAAATCCAAAATTATGGAGGTCCCTAGAGGGGGTGGTAGTTCCTAATGCTTCTTCCAACACTGACTCAGCATGTCTCGGTGCTGGAAACTTAACTGCAATAATAATCTAAAATGATGAAAGGAAATGAACAACAATGTAAAGGGAAAAGCATGAGTGTTTTTTGCCTTACTGAGAGGGATGTGAAGGAAATGGTCACAATCTCTGAGAATTGTGAACTGGGGAGTTGGAGAGTTCAGAGGTGCTAGTTTTCAGTGGGAAATAATGGTTGACCTGGTCATAGTGACTTTGATTTCTCTGGCAGAGTGTCTCCAGGGAGTGATTAACAGCCTGTCATCCGTGGGCAATGACACGATACATAGCTCAAGAGTAAGTCTTTGAGTCACGTGGAAACCTTACCTTCCAAGAAAAGAAAGGACAAGATATCGGCTTCTGACATTCAGCCTTGAGGCCAGCCCCCGTGTATATCTGAAAGTTGAGTTAAAGGTCTCTAGAAAACTCAACTGTGAGTGGGTTGGGAGACCAGGGATGGAGAGCGGCAGATCCAGGAAGGGTGCTTTGTATTTATATTTAGAGGAGAAGTATTGTAAAACATTTAGGGGAAAAAAGGATCTGAGTTAGATAACAATTCTGAGGTAATCTTTTATAGGAGGCACACCTGCACCCAAGATTTCAGGGAGGTAGAAGGCAGAATTGGGCAGTGGACAAGCATAGATTTGAAGTGAGGAAAACAAAGGCAAAGGGGAAATCTCTGCTATTAAAATCATTCTGCTGAAGCACCACAGCATCACTGCTGAAGAGCTCCACCCAGAAGTAGTCCTTGAGCATCTTAGTAGAGAAGAAGCCTATGTTAATTCTTGGAATGAGGAAGATTTTGATATGAGGTGGTCATGCTGCCTGGATTTAGACAAAAGTGTAGCTGAAACAGGCAGAGTAAATACTATTAATTTGGATGGAATTAGAGGGGCCTGAGAGGGAAGAAATTATAAGAAGTTTGAAGGGCAGAATGAAGAGACTGTGGATTCCTTTTATAACACTTTGCTTTTACACAAATATTCCCTTGTGCCTAGAATACTTTTTTTTACTTCTTCCGCCTCAAAAATTCTGGTACTTTTTTCTTCATTTCAAAAAAAAATTATGTCTTCTGTGTCTTCCTGATCTCCACTTCCAGCCCATGGCTCATTTACTGCTCTTCTAACTCCTACCATGTGTGCAAATTAGCATTTACCTTACTGAATTTGCTTATTCATTTGACAGATGTTTATTGAATTGTTATCATGTTCCAGACACAACCCTTGGGACTTGAAATACATCAGTGAACCAAACTATAAAAAAAAAGTTCCCTGCTCTCATGGAGTTTACATTCTCACAGAGGAGAGAAACAATAAATAATTGGGATAATAAATAAGGGCCTTATTTTATAATGTGTTAAAAGATGATAAATAGCATGGAAATTTTAAAAGTAGAGTAAGGGAAGGTGATGTCAGTGTAGGATGCGGATGCAGGGAAGGAGGCAGACTGCAGCCTTATTTAGGATGGTCCAAGAAGTACCAGTTGAGACAGTGAGATCTGAGCAAAAGCTTGGAATAAATGAAAGAGATATCCAAGTGTGTATTTGGTGGGAAAAAAAGTTCTAGGAAGAGACAACAATGGCAAGAAAGGCTGCAAAATGTCAAGTTGCTGAGGAGGTGTGAGCAGTGGGAAAGCAAGACCTGACTTAATAATTTAAAAGGAAAGTTCTGGTTGCTGCATCAAGATTAGGCTATTCATGGACAAATACAAGGAAGAAGATCTCTTAGGAGTCAATTACAGTAACAGAGGTGAGCAACAACAGTGGCTTGAACCAAGTGAAAAATGGGTCCTGAATATATGAGGGAAAGGTAGACACAATGATGACTGTGAGGATTTTGACCCATCAGTTGAAGGATTGTAACGGCCATTTTTTGAGATGGGGAAGACTACAGGTAGTGCCCACAGGAGTTCTGTTTGAGATGGTTACCAGATGCCCAAGAGGAGATGTGAGTAGGCAGCCGAATACGTAAGTCTGGAGTCAGGGAGAGAAATGTGGGTTGGAAATTCATTCAGAAGTCTTCAGTGCATAAACAGTGTTCTAAGCCTTCGCACTGGATGACATTAACAAAGCAGCGAGTGTACAAAGAAAGGAGAGAAGAACGAACACTGACCTCTGTGAACTGTGACGTTAAAAAGGAAGGGCAAAGAGGAAAAAAAAAACTACCACTAAGGTAGAAGAAATCTGAAGTATAGCACCCTGAGGACCAAGTGAAGAAAAGGGTGTCAAGAGGCAGGATAAATCACCTGTGTTGAGAACTACTGATGGTCCAAGTAAGCGAAGGGATGAGAGTTGACAATTGGATTTAGCAAACTTTAGATAATGGGTGGCTGTGAGGAGGGAAGTTTTGATGGAGAGGTATGTGTGAAGGTCTAATCAGAATGGGTTTAAGAGGGAACAGGAGGGATTCACGGCAATGACTAGAGGCAGCTCTGGGAAGGAGTTTCATTTCAGGATCTGAGAAGGAAACGGAGCAGTGCCTGTGGGATGACTGAATCAAGAGAACGAATTTTGGAGGCTTGTTTTTGAGAATAATAGCATATGACTAGGACGATGGACTGTTCCAATAAAGATCTGTATCACAATTAGTTGCTTCTCTATTTTCTCTATTAGAGTATTAGTTTCTTGACTTCAGCTGCCATATCTTACTAATTGGTTTAGCCCTTGTTCTAGGTATAATGCTTGTAAGAGAGAAAATGCTCAATAAACTTTTGTTACATTGATCTCAACACAATGGAATATAAATATTTACCATCTGTGAAGCAATAATTCAGAAAAGTGCACTTGAGGTTGGTGGAGGAGGAATGTGGCCACAGTTTGGAGTAGAAATGCAGAGAGATAGACTTAGCTCCTGGTTTCCTGTGGCTCTTTTATTTACTTAAACCCCCTTTAGCCCTGATTGGGATTCTCACCAGTGTCAAAAGACACACCCCTGAAAGATGCTGTTAGATCTGTGTCTCCATAAGGAAATGGGAGGGGGCCAGAGGTGAAAGGATTGAGTCTCTGATATCCAGAATGTTGAAGAAGAAAATAAATAAAAAGAAGAAAATAAATTAAAATTAGAAATAAAAAAATGATGTAATCTGGGTCCAGGTACACTACCAATATTTTATCAGTATAAATGATAATTTATATCTTAGATAAAGAATATACATAAATGATAATATAGACCTTGAGTGAGGAATATTTACATTTCCAAAACCTATATAGATTCCACTAAGCAAGATAAATTGGTCACAGGGTGGGGGTTAAAAATGGGTAGTGTCAACAGGGAAGACGTTTTAAGTCTAATGATAAGAGTGGATGCTCTGAAGGAGGCTGGTGACAGTGATTGCGGGGAAGGATTGACTTCTTAACACATGTACTGAGAGAGCTTTACTCTGGAGGTGGAGCAGTGGGTCAAAAGCACTTTGAGGGTTGCCTTCTTCTTAGGATTTCTTTGGCTCAACTGTCTTTCTCATCCTTCTATACGTACGTTCCAGGGTATGAACGGTGAGCAATGAACCCCGGGAATTGGAGCCAGGTAGCAGAGTTCATCATCTTGGGCTTTCCCCATCTTCAGGGTGTTCAGGCTTATCTCTTTCTCTTGCTACTTCTAATCTACCTCACCACTGTCCTGGGGAACCTGCTGATATTCCTGCTGGTCTGCCTGGACTCCCGGCTCCACACACCCATGTACCGCTTCATCAGCATTCTCTCCTTCCTGGAGCTTGGCTACACAGCTGCCACCATCCCCAAGATGCTGTGGAACTTGCTCAGTGAGAAGAAAACCATTTCTTTCTCTGGATGCCTTCTGCAGATCTATTTCTTTCACTCTCTTGGGGCTACAGAGTGCTATCTCCTCACAGCTATGGCTTACGACAGGTACTTAGCCATCTGCCAGCCTCTCCACTACCCTACTCGCATGACGCTGGCACTCTGTGTCAAGATTGTGGTTGGCTGTTGGTTGGGAGGCTTGGCTGGACCAGTGGCTGAAATTTCCTTGGTCTCCCGCCTTCCTTTCTGTGGCCCCAATCGCATTCAGCACATCTTTTGTGATTTCCCTCCTGTGCTGAGCTTAGCATGTACTGACACCTCTGTCAATGTCCTAGTGGACTTTGTCATCAACTCCTGCAAGATCCTGGCCACCTTTCTGTTGATCTTTAGCTCCTATGTGCAGATCATCCGCACAGTGCTCAGAATTCCTTCAGCTGCAGGTAAGAGGAAGGCCTTCTCCACGTGTGCCTCCCACCTCACTGTGGTTCTCATCTTCTACGGGAGCATCCTCTTCATGTATGTGCGGCTAAAGAAAAGCTACTCGCTGGACCACGACCGGGCCCTGGCGGTGGTCTACTCAGTGCTCACACCCTTCCTAAACCCCTTTATCTACAGCTTGCGCAACAAGGAGATCAAAGAGGCTGTGAGGAGGCAATTGAAGAGGACAGGGATCCTGGAGTGAAGGGGGAGGAGGCAGGCCAAGTGCGAAGCTGAGGATTCGGTGACCTTGGGGATCTTCGGTAGCCACTGATGAAGTGTCAAGCATTCAGGGCTTTTCTACACTGGATACTGAACTGGTGCAAATGCTACCTAGTTTTCAGTGTTAATGCAACCATTATACTATCTGCTGCAGCCACGTGCAACTTGAAACCGGAGACGGGAAAAGTACACTTTCTCTCCAGCAATACGATGCAGTGCAGCGATTTTCAAATCTCGGACGTTTGTATATCATACTTAGGATTTTGGTAAAATCTATGTCTTACCTACAATATATAATTTTTTCAAATTTACTCGAGCTAATATAAATACATTTATCCATGTTGCAAATAATAATACTTGCTAAATAAATTTTAGAACCAAAAATGAATGTTTTTTCATGGGCTGTTTACAGTCATTTCATGTAGACTGATCATTTATGTATTAAAATGGAAAACTCTGATACAGTAGAGAAAAGCATGTTTTTGACATCACGTAGATCTGGGTTTAAATCCTAGTTCACTTAGTCACTTGTGAATTACATGATCTCTGTAAAGCGTTTCAACTTTCTTAATTGATCAATCAATTTCATCATTTGTTAAAAATATATTCTCAAAGGTTGTTTTGAGAATTAGTGATGACATGTGTAAACCACAGTAGAAAGAGTTTGGCAAATAATTGATAGTAAAAAAAAAAGGTTACATTGATTTTTATTTCTTTTACTCTGCCTAGAACTCTCATCATTACTCTGAGTAATAGAACAATATCCAGGAAAATACAATTAAGCAAAAACACTCCCCAGATAATCTTCCAAAGAGAAAGAAGTAAACTAACTAGAGGGAGTACTTGTGAGATGCGTTGGTCTTCCTATCTTAGTGGTCTTAAAATCTATTCCCAGTATAAAGTGTGAAGGGCAGAGGGTGAGTCAATGGCAGAAAATAGGATTACTTTTTATGTCGGACTACTTCTTTATTTCACTTTAAGCTAATTATTTCCTTAAATATATGAAAAATAAGTGAAAAATAATACTATAGTTTAGCATATGAGAAATGTGAGGATTTAATTATTAGTTGGTGTTAGAGATTATTAATGCATCTAAATATCTACTGTTAGTAGATGATCAAGTGTTGATTATAAAGAAACTTAACTCTATACAGAATTACATAGATCTACATAATAAGATTCCACAGAAGTTTTATTTCTGCCATCTAATAGATATCCATCCAGCCATCTATCCATTCAGTCAATTCAGCACATGTTTATTTAGGTCTTACTATATATCAGATGCTGTGCTAAGCCCTACATAAAATGGTGAACCAAACAGATACTAAAAACAAATTTTAAAATATTAAAAAAATATATATAAATAAAAAAAGAAAAAAAATTTTAAAGAAGAAAAACAGATACTCTCCTATTTTTTTAAGTTCCTGTGCTTAGGATGTTTTAAAAGAGTTGAGAATTATAGACATTAAATTTGCCATTAATTTATAATTAATTATAATTAATAATTTAAAATGTGGCAACTAGTAGGAAAATACACACAGACTTTCTACTCGAGTAAGTTATATTTAAACTGAAAACTACAGGATAAATCATAACTGGCCATTTTTATGAAAACAATAATTGCAATAATGAGATTTATTTTACAAAATTGGAAATTTAGACCTAGATAAAACACTTGCCAAAGATGTAGAGCAAGTTAGAATCAGGGAATCTGCATATGAAAACAAAGTCTTCAGCCTTCCAGGATATGTCCCTGTAGTCTTCAAAAGGTCCAAGGAAGTAAGGGAAAAGGAGAAAGAGATGAAAGTAACAGCAAAAAGCATGATAACTAGGCTATGGGTCTGGAAACAGACAGGCAATGGCAGCCAGGAGGTTGGCTCCTGAGGACTTGCAGAGACAGGTGTGAAAAGTGGGTCCCACCTTCAAGAAAGTGAAAGGACAACCCACAGAAGAGGAAAAAAAAATTGCAAATCATTTATCTGATAAGGGACATATATCCAGAGAAAAATAAAATTCAAAAAGACACATGCACCACAATAGCAGCACTATTTATGATAGTCAAGACTTGGAAACAACCCAAATGTCCATCAGCAGATGACTGGATAAAGAAGATGTGGTACATATATACAAT